TTTGGCTCACGGCCCTGTTCTTCCATCTCCAATACCAGCATGGCACGTGGAGCACCTCTCACGCTTGGAATCTCACCTGCTTCTTCCATTTGCATCTCTCTGAACCAGTTCTGCTTTCCTCTTTCATTCGTAAGGGCTCATGTGATCACGTTGAGACCACCTGCAAAATTCAAGATAATCTTTGTATTTTAAGGCAACTTTCATTCTGTCTGCAAAATTCCTTTTGTTGTGTAAAGAAGCATATTCACAGTTTCCAGAGATTAGGGCATAGACATTTTTTTGGTTGGTAGGAAAGGAGGGTATTATTCTGCCTATCAGAACTGTGTTTATCATATATTATGTTTTCATCTATTTTGGATCTTGTTCTGAACTGCTATTTTACAAATTCTGTGCCATATAGCTTTGATCTCAGTAGCTCTATAGAAGGTTTTTTTTTTTTTTTTTTGAGTCAGTCTCACTCTGTCACCCAGGCTGGAGTGCACACTCATGGCCACTGCAGCCTTGACCTGCTGGGTTCAGGTGATCCTTCTGCTTCAGCCTCCTGAGTAGTTGGGACTATAGGCATGTGCCACCACACCCAGCTAATTTGTTGATTTATTGTAGAGACGAGGTCTCGCCAAGTTGCCAAGGTTGGCCTTGAACCTGTGGGCTCAGGCAATCCTCTTGCCTATGCCTCCCAAAGTGCTGGGATTATAGGCATGAACCACCACACCCAGCATTATAGAAAGTTTTATTATTTGGTGAGACAATATTCTCCTGATTATTCTCCATTTTCAAAATCAGGCAATCTTTATCCTTTATCTGGGCTTTCTTCCAGAATCTTAATGTCAACTACAGTAGTTGAGCTGCCCTAGCAGGGAGCTGGGAGAGATGTATGCTACCATATTTCTAAACATTTTATAAAATACTCTTATGCTATTGCTGTCATAAACATAAGTTTTGGAGCTATTGTTGAGAATAAGGGTTTTGGAGTCTGAGAATAAACATGTTATTAAGGACTATCTGGCTTCCTCAGGGTTGCTTGGAAGAATGATGAATTTTTGTAAATAAATCTCTGACTACCCCTTTTTTTGAGTTGGAGTCTCATTCTATCATCCAGGCTGGAGGGCAGTTGCATGCTCCTGGCCACCACAGCCTCAACCTGCTGGGCTCAGGTGATCCTTCCATTTCAGCCTTCCAAGTAGCTGGAACTACAGGCACATGCCACCAGCCCAGCTAATTTTTTGATTTATTTTAGAGATGAGGTCTTGCCAAGTTGCCTAGGCTGGTCTCAAACCCACGGGCTCAGGCAGTCCTCCCACCTTGGCCTCCCAATATGCTGGAATTATAGGTGTGAGCCACTGCACCCGGCCTCTGACCTTTTTGACACTAGACACACTTATCAGAGTTGCCCCTGTGAGAAGCAGCTTTATGGTAACTCATTCCCTGCCCTTGGAACTTTTGGAGTAGGGGTTCATATTTGCTAGCAGTCTGACTTTTCCATTCATGGCCACTCAGCTTTCCTGATTGGTCATAATGACCTCTTTGTATTCATTCCCACTGCTGGAGGATGTCTAAGAGGTGTCCCCAAAGTGAGTTTCATGAACATTTCAAATTATACACTTCATATTTGGAGAAGGTCTATCTAGCTGTTTTTATTTTTTTGAGTTAGTCTCATTCGGTCACCCAGGCTGGTTCTAGCTGTTTTTACTTGATTTGGTAACAATTTTATTTACAAAGCCGTAATGTCCTTTAACTGTTTTCACATCAGAGTGAAATCCTGACTGCAGTGATGACAACTCCTTTAAAAAATAATATTCTATACTACTATGAAACCTTAATTATGACAAGCATGTTCAATAAAATCATTGAAGTCCTAAGCAATCACTGTGTCTCTGAGAAAATTGGGTAGTTGTCATTCAAACTTTCCATAATTGTCTCTCTATAAAAACTTCATTATTTTTATTAATTTCTCTTCAATCATTAGTTACTTACAGATACAGATTTCATTAAAAATGCTTTCATTACTCCTTTGTCATGCCAGTATATGTCCAACATCTTTCCATAATCTGTAATTTTTACTTTGACTACACATGATTTTGACTTTGTTACATGTAAGATATTCCTCGTCTTTATCCTATCTGTTGAACCCACAATTCAAATCCGAGAGAGACCACAAAGAGCCAGCTCCGATGCAAACACACGAGGGTCTTTATTCAGGCTCAAGTCTGGGCTCACGTATGAAGCTGGCAGTGGCTTCAGGGACGAGAGCCTCGATCCAGTATGGCAAGCAGTTTTTATGCACCATTACAGAGGGAGGGGAAAGAACTTTAAACTTGGTTTTACATGACTGGGTAATTTCTCCTAATGGGTACGGGAACACTTGGTATTGGTAGGTGCCTTTCGTGGGCTCCAACCTGACTGCCCGTGATTGACAGAAACCCACTTAATGGGCAGAGTGGAATGTCAGATAAGTTAGGTTCATATAGTCACTGCGTATAAATTAACTTGAGCAAGCAGGCAGAGGTTACCAGCGCCTCCAAGTCTGCTGATCCAAACTGAGGAATGCTTAGGAGAGCTTGTTTGCTTAACATTTACATAACATAACATGGTCATTATGGGACAACAAAAGCTAAACTTAACAACGTTTTAAATATGAATGCTGCAAACACATACAGCAAATGTAGGGTAGAAATTTATATAGTACTAGTTCTAGGAATTTATAAAATATCGCGCAAACGTCTTATGGCAAGGTGGTTTTTCTAAAAGTCTTTTGATTCCCTCAGGTTTACACAGCCACTATGTGTAAATTAACTTTGACATGGGAACCGAAGGTTTAAATCAACATAGAGCCTACTTGGAGAGCAGCTAGCGCCTCAGAGTCTACTGCAAAGGAATGTCTGAAAGGGGCTTATTGCTTTAACATTTACATCCCGTTGTAAAAGCAGAAGTCAACATGGCAATTGGGACTAACAATGCTTAACCCAAGAGTTCTAAATACAAACACTACTTAAGACATTATATAACTACACGATCAGTCGCTACCCGGCACACGACATATGCCTAATTCTACGGGGTCTGAGGTAGGATTTAAAGTACTAAGATTTCATAAAGTACAATGAACATGAGGTAGGGATATATAATGTAGTGAACTAAACACTACTTTTACAGCAAGTATGGCTTTTTAAGTTTCTTGGTTTCTTGGGTCTCTCAATAGCATGCTTTTAATCCTAAGTCCATGGTATATTTTATTGCTGTCCTCTAACTATCTTCATGTGTCAAGAGGAAGAAATAAGTGTGTGGCCTTTTTTCTCATGGTCAAGCTCCACTGCATCAATCTATTATGTTTTTCTCATAGGAACAGAGAGCCATTCATAGATCTTTTGCATTCAAGTAACTCACTAGGCAAAGTCTTCTGAGATGTGAGTGGTATCAAGCATGGTAGATAGAACCCACTCCTCTCCACAGTAAAAATGCCTTTGCTTTAGTCAATTCCACAATCTATTTATTTCCATTGTCTGCCAGGGGAAAATTGAAAATCTGTAGGTTCAATTAGGAGTTTGGTGAAACTGATAACTTTTTCTGGGCTGTCTGGAAGGGTCCCCAGGCAATTTAGCGATATGTACTCAGATTGTGGTAAGATCGTTCCTGGGTGAATATCCAAGACGATAAAGATTTAGTTCAGGATTATACTTTTAAGTCAGAAGAATTGTTAATGCTATAAAATTATATTTAGACTTTAGATTCTTAATTTTGAAGGAATCATCATGTAGAGATGAGAATCTGGATAAAAAGTAGTGGCCTTCATTATCTGTCATTAAATGCTGCTCATGATAAACTATGTATCCACAACCAATGCCTTTGTTCAGAAGGAGAAAAGCATTTTCAAATAATCAATAGCTTGAATTCCATTAATGTCAGAGCAGTCACACAAAAAACTCTTAAGTAAAGGTAATAAGGAACCTCATTACTGCCAAAATCATTAGAGATCTTATGACGTGGGCTTCAGGATAGTGTGCAGGTTAAAATCATGCATATGGTTGTTCACAGTATGAAGGATGGGAAGTTCTGGCTTAGATGACAAAAACCATTCCAGCTTTAACAGTGGATTTGAAACTAAGTCATGAGTCACCCAAATTCTCCATCATCGATCCTCCTTCTGATGGCATGGGCCCTCACTGAGGTAGCATGTTTATTACTCTACAGATGTTTATTCCACATCTACTAGGTCCAAAGCATGGTAGGACACACACATGAGGCTATGTCCCTTGCCCTTCAGGAGCTCACAATCTAGCACAAAAGACATATAATTTAGTAGCTCTAAAATAAGGTGGAGCAAACCAATGCCTGTGTGGAAATTTTAATGTGGTATGGCGTTCCAGAGGCTGGAGCAAATAAATGTGTATGGAGAATAATGAAAGCCTCACAGAAAAGAACTATGCTTGCTAATACAAGAGGCTTAGTTCTGAAATGTCATTCTGACCAAATGTACACACCATTAGCTTGCATTGATAAAGCAAAATAAAAATACTTAATCATTACTGTTGCGGTACGAGGAAGATGATCATGAACCATTAATTTTACCTACTTAATATTTCAAGTAATGAGATAAATATAAGTTGAAGTCATTTTTTTATTTTTTGAGTTGGAGTCTCACTGTGTTGCCCAGGCTGGAGTGCAGTGGCACAGTCACGGGTACCACAGCCTTGACCTGTTGGGTTCGGGTGATCCACCTCAGCCTCCCAAGTAGCTGGGACTACAGAAATGTACCACCACACCTGGCTAATTTTTGATTTATTGTAGAGAGGATGTCTTGCCACCTTGCCCAGGCTGGTCTCAAACTCCTGGCTCAGGCAATCCTTTTGCTTTGACCTCCTAAAGTGCTGGAATTATAGGCCACTGCACCAGACCAAAACAAATTTTTTTGTAAGTTCAGAAGCATGACTCAAGTGTGATCTACATTTGACATTTCTTGAAGTTTCAGATTTTTAGAAGAAATTAATAATCAGAAACAAAAAATCTTAAGGCAATGTTGTATTAACTTTATTTTTTCCTACTCAATATGCAGCTATTAAAATATTTTTAGTAATCATGACTTTCAACCTGAAACATTACTTTAAATCTTGAAGCTGAAAATAAGGGGTAAACTTTATTGGTTAAAATTTGCTTTCTGGGGCTTCACCTTTATAAAATTTTATGTAAAACTGAAGCAGTGAGGGGTTGTCTTAAGGAATACATCAAAACAGCAGTCCAATTTTAGTGTTAACAGAAAAAGGTTCATTCTCATGTTATCAAACATTTTTTCCACTACAAGAAAAAAACTTGAAGTTATTTTAAAATAAATAGCACATTTCTGAGAACTCGTATTGGTAGGGAATTGTGTGCTTATAAAACCAATCAGTATCTGTTCAAATCAAGAACTGTTTTCACTTAAAATAAAATTTGGTGTCCACAGATACAGATACATATGTTTATTTTGAATGTATCTCTTTCCAGAATAAGGTTTTTAAAAGATTATACCATATCCATTTAAGTGTTTAAATACTAGAATAATCAGTTACATCCCAGATAATGTTAACTAAGATTTAACAGGTGTTTATCAGAACAGGCCCTCTTCTATGTACTCTGCACAGCTGACTCACTCAATCTTCCTAACAACTTCCCAATCCTACTACAGATGAAGGCAGAGAAAAAAAAAGGAGTTAGGAAGCTGTCTAGAAACACAAACCATAGTTTAATAAAAATAAGAGTGTTTTTATTGGTTACATATAATTTTAGCTATATTTATATTATATACTTTAAAATTAGAAATAAATGACTTTATTTTTCAACCAAGAATAATCTAAGTTAGGGCAGCATGTTCAATGAAAATTATGTAAGCCTTGCACAGTCGTTACATCTGTTTTTCAGATAATCAGGACGTCATCATCCAAGCTTTGCGTTAGGACCCCACACGGTTGCCCCTACCCATGAACATCATTAAGTAGAAATAAGATACCATGTTCTTTTTCAGTAAATACTCTCTTTCTGCCACACAGACATCTCCCCCTGATAATTTTACTATACCGTACAAAATCTAACTTTTCATCCACAAGAACTGCCTCAAATAACTTTCATATTGGAAAGCTATAAAGCCATGAGAGTAGGAAAATGCTACTCTGGACTTTGTATCTTAGAGTTTTCACTTTTTTATTTAGGTTTTAGACCCCAACTTATAATTTAAAACTAAATAATTCCTACATTATATTTTTGCACAAAAGTCTTTTTTTGTACACAGTTAACACGGATCGAACATGGTAATAGTTTAAGTATTTGGCAGATCACAGAAATGAAACAGTGCTGACAGAAATGAAAACACCTCAGTGTTTTGCAGATGAAGAGATTGATGGATATCATTCAAATTTCTCATCTCCTTCTTCTACATCTTTCAAATTGAGTACTTCCAGAGAACCTTTGCCTTTTGTTTCCTTCTTTATTAGCTCATCAATTTCTCTGAAGCAGCCCGGGTCAATCAGACATACCTGAAACATTTAACATAGTTGTTTACCACATGAAGAGAAGCAAGACAACAGAATAAACTCAGCCTTAAATTCCTTTTAAACAATGCTTTCCAGATGTCTCTTACAGTTCTATGGTGTAAATAGACAAGACAATGGACAGGGCAGCAGATGGGTTCTCGGCCAAACTCTGCCCTGAAGTATCCATGCAGGCACTTGTGACAAGGCATTAATCTCCTTGTCAGGGAGATTATCCAGATTCTTCAGGTATAAAAGGAAGGAGTTTGACTAGAAAATTATGGTCCTTTTCATGCTACAATTCAGCATTAAATTTTATAGTTCAGTGAAATCACTTTCACATATCAAGGAGAAAAAGCAATCTGAAGACCTACTTAGAGATCATGTATAACATTTAAAAAATATTTTAGAACTTCAAATAGTGTCAGATGTGCTGTTTCACATCTATGCTCATATAGTTCATTTATTCTTTATCATTCTCATAACATTTTCTATAGCTCATTTATTTGTTAAAGAAGCTGCAATGCGCTGAAGACATGAATTTGCAGACAGCTGAAATTACACTGTGCTTGAAGCTGTGGAGTGAAGATCCAGAGACACAAAGTTTTTTTTTGCTGCTTCTTTAAACTGTTCTGTGGGAAACAAGGCTGACCAACCTTTAGTCAGTCTTGTTTCTATTTGCCCTGTAACAGAAGACTCACTGTAAAACGTATTCTCTCATCTAAAATGAACATGACTTGGCAGGCGCTGTGACTTAAGCCTGTAATCCCAGCACTTTAGGAGGTGGAGGTGAGAGGATTGCCGGAGCCCAGGGTTTGAGACCAACATAGGCAACTTGGCGAGACCTTGTCTCTACAATAATCAAAAAAATTAGCCGGGCGTGGTGGTGTGAGCCTGTAGTTCCAACTACTTGGAATGCTGAGGGGGCAAGATTACCTATGCCCAGCAGGTCAAGGCTGCGGTGGTGGCGAGCATGCCACTGCCCTCCAGCCTAAAGCCCTCCAGCCTAGATGACAGTGAGACTCCAACTCAAAAAAAAAAAAAGATCATGTGCAACATAATTTTTATCATGAATAATTTAACTTAAAAAAAATCATAATTCAGCCAGGCTCGGTGGCTGGGCCTGTAATCCCAGCACTTTGGGAGGCTGAGGTGAGTGGATTGCCTGAGCCCGTGGGTTCGAGACCCGCCTGGGCTAAAACTTGGTGAGATCTCATCTCTACAATAAAAATTAAAAAAAAAAATTACGCCGGGTGTGGTAGCGCACGCCTGCAATCCTGGCTACTCGGAAGGCTGAGGCGGAAGGATCGCCGGAGCCCAGCAGGTCGAGGCTGTGGTGGCTAGGAGCGGCCACTGCACTCCAGTCTGGGTGACAGAGTGAGACTCCAACTCAAAAAAAAAAAAATCCTAATTCTGCTTAACTACAATTTAGTTCTATATTTAGACCTTGACATGTTAACCTAATCCTAGGTAAAATATTTTGGTAACATGAAGCAAAGAATATTTCACTCTTACAATTTCTAACTGCTGGCCATAATCTTCACTTTCAATAACCTTGATCAGTGGTTTGAGCTTTTCTTTCAGTTTTTTCCCTTCGTTCACTGGAAGAATGAACCGAAGTCTCATGTGAGCACGTTCTATCTTCATTTTCTCCTTTAATTGCTTTATCACTTCCAATGCCTATCAAGACAAAATTGTGAATATTTGTTAGTTCTTTACTTTGGCTAAATTACTTCATTAAGGTATTCAAAAACCAAGCTTTTCCATCTGGTTGGATTAGGTAATGGCTTCTCACGTATGACACAAAGAACATCAAGCAATCACAGAAAAGAGAAAAACTAGGCTTTATCAAGATTTAAAACTTTTGTGCTTCGACAAACACTATCAAGAATGTGAAAAGACAGCCCATAGCCTGGGAGAAAATATTTGCAAATCATATTTGATAAGGGACCAGTTTCCAAAATAAAGAATGCCTACCACTCAACAATGAAAAGACAAATAATCAATACAAAAGTGGGCAAAGAATCTGAATTGAGATTTCTCAAAAACAGACAAAACATCGATAAGCTACATGAAAGTATGCTCAAATCATTAGTTATTAGGGAAATGCAAATTAAACCCACAAGATATACAAGGATGGCCATAATCAAGAGGTGGACAATAACAAGGACTGCTGAGGATGTGAAGAAACTGGAACCCTGACACCCCCGATAGTGGTGAGATGGGGTAGCTATTTTGGAAAATGGTTTGGCAGTTCCCAGGTATAGACATATGACAACATATGTCTGTACAAAAACTTGTAACAGATTTCATGGTGACATTGTTAGAAATAGTGCAAAAGTAAAAACAATTCAATGCCCATCGATGAACATACCACTTTAAATTTTTATTTTTATTTTTTAGAGACAGGGTCTTGCTCTGTCAGTCCAGACTGGAGTGAAGAGGCATGATCATAGCTCACTGCAGCCTTAAACTCCTGTGTTCAAGGGATCTTCCAGCCTCAGCCTCCCAAGTAGCTGGGACTACAGGCATGTGCCACCATGCCTGTGGCAAAAAAAAATTTTTTTGAGTCAGGGTCTCACTGTGTTGTCCAGGTTGGAGTGTAGTGGCACAATCATGGCTCACTGCAGCCTGGAACTCCTGGGTTCAGGTGATCCTTCCTCCTCAGCCTCCTGAGTAGCTGGGACTACAGGCATGAGCCATCATGCCTAACTTTTTGATTTTTTGTAGAGATGAGGTTTCACTATGTTCCCAAGGCTGGCCTCACACTCCTAGGTTGAAGTAATCCTTCTGCCTTGGCCTCCCAGAGTGCTGGGATTACAGGTGAGAAACTGCGCCTGACTTTGAACTACACACCTCAAAAGGATGACTTTTATGATAATGTGAATTATATATAAACAACAACAACAACAAAAATCTAGAAAGAGGAGTTAATATAACTCTTTAAAAACTAATGTTTTGTGTTTAAAGGCTTGATTTGGATAGGAAGACAAGAGTCCTATGTATTAGTTTTTAGTTAAAGAACAAACATTATATTACGCCTCTTTACAACCTCCATCCTTTCCCCCCTTCTCTTCCCAAAACATCCTACCCACTTGTGTTCATGCAGGCCCATCATTTTAATCATTTCTTCAGGGAAAATGGATTTCCATGGATAAATTTTGACGACTTTAAAAAGCACTCACCTGCTGTTTTGTACTCTTGTTAGTTTTGACTGAATAGTGGATGTCCTTCATGGCTCTCTCGATAAGGATAACAGTGTATGGTCTCTTTGTTTCAGGGTTCACACATTTGTCTGCTACAATAGTTGCAATGTCCCTAAACATCTGCTCCAGTTGTGTGTGCCTTTCTTTATCAGATACTTGAACTTCTCCTTTAGTCAAAATCTAAAAAAAACCCCAAGACATTTAAGAAAGCAATATCTCGATTGCACACGACTTGTTAACTAGATTGAATAATTAATAATTGGGGAGAAAATTAAATTCCATCCCCTCCATGAAATTAAACTCCATACTTTGGTATATAATGATTTGTGCTTTGCCTAAAGGTTGCACTGGGTTATGTTGTGCTCCAAAAATCTCATAATTGGTGAAGGACTTATTGAGAATAGGGTGGGAGAAGGGGAAAAGATAATCTTAAAATTTTGAGTATGCAGGATGAAATACTTGAGAATAAATTGGTTTTCAGGTACACCGCATTACATAACTGGACAAAATGAGGCAACTTAGTAGAAAATTTAATTTCTGAAAGTTTTGGCAAAAAACACCCATACTCTATACTGTTAGATGTGACATCCTGCGGCTCACATTACTGTGCGGTAACGCTTTCCTTTCAATTTTACCATACCTACGAGTACTTTGCAAATGGATACTGCTGCAGCTGGCAGAACCCACCTGCTTACAGATTTCCGTCTGGTCGTCTGTTCCAAATGCACTGATGAGATCTTCCTTCTTCGCCACCTGACCTTTAGAAACATTTACAAACACTGAGTGGGTCTGCAGAACTTCATCAAGGTCTTTTTCCCTTGTGAGGGCAGGAGAGAAAATCCCAGGTGAATACACTTGAAACTCTGACATTCATTCACGTTAAAATACATGACTGGCATCGGCGTCAACAGCAAGCACCGACAAGTACTCCTAAATATTTGGCCCTTAGCGTCGAGGGTCGAGGGAACCTCTTCGAGGCTCAGAACTGCATTTGTATTCCCATCCACTCGCTGTGGAAAAACGTCACGGGAGTACGCAAGAAACACGAGGGCAGGGCAGGGCAGGGCAGGGCAGAGCGGGGTGGGGCAGGGTAGCGAGGGGTGGGGACCGCTGCTGCGGCCACGGAATACCGGTCCCCAGAGGGCAGTAGTGAGGACACTACGCACTTTGGTGAGACCACGGGACTCCTGAGGTCCGTGACACCAAATGCACTACAACAATGACACGCTTCGGTAAGCTCGGCTCCCAGGCTTTATCGTTATTCTGAAAAAGGGAGCATGAGGACGGGGCTTCTTGGCTGTGGCTTTCTGCGATGCCGATCAAACAAAACCCCAAGCCGACAACCCCATCCCAACCAACCGAACCACCACCACCACCACCACCACCACCACCAAGATCCCGCGGCTTAGGCGCCCAGCTCGGGAGCGACAGCGCCACTCCTCACGCTCACGGCAGGAATCCGGTCGCCATTTCCTTCCCGGCCGGACCCCCGCTCGGCCCCCTCCCTCGACTGGACCGGGGGCAGGCCGTCTCCGGGGACGCGGACTCCGGCCGGGCCCTGCGCGAGAGGGTTACTCACACGCCGCTCCGCCAGCCCACGACCTTGTTTTTGTAGCAGGCGATTTCGAAGCGCTTCCCGGCGCGCTTCATCCGTACCACGGCCACATTGGTCAGGCGGATCTGGTTGGTGGGGGTGAAGATCGACATCGCGGCTGCTCACGCA